GAATTCCAGCAGGCGATGATCACTGTCGCCCAGGTGGTCGAGCACCCGCAGCCCCCTCACCAGGTCATCACCCGTGGCCAGCACTAGGTCCAACAAGGCGTCCCCCCTGGTGGGGCTGTGCACCTCCTGGGTTAGATGGAGGTCCTGCACTCTAAGAACCTATGTGAGCGTTCTGACCTGGCTGACTGGTCTTTCCAACAGATGTCCAGGAAGTTCAGATCCCCCATGACTACCACATCCTTAGCCTTCACTACCTCTGTGAGCTGACCCAAGAATTCCTGGTCAAGCTCCTCTCCCTGGTTGGGAGGTCTGTAGTAGACTCCGTTAAGTCCCTTTCCCCTCAACTGCCTTGTACCCTAACCCAAAGAACTTCAGAGTGCCCCTCCCCTGACTCCTTACTAATTGACGAGGATGTGTATTCCTCCTTAATATAGAGTGCCACGCCCCCACCTCTCTTTCCTATCCTGTCCCTCCTGTACAGCCTATAGCCCTTGACATTCAACGTGTCTCATAAAGGTTGCAATGTGGGGCATTCCCAAAATCCATGCAGTGGGATGCCAGTTGAATCACAATCAATGCTTCCAGTACTACACTAGGACACAATTATAGTTCTGTTGTATTAGTTTTCCTGGAAGTATCTGATTGCATTAGCTGAGGAGCTGGTCCATATATCCTGTCAAAGAAGAATGACTGAACATCTGCTTGAAGGGGTTTTCTACAATACTTGAATGGACTTTTTACATTTTTGCCCAGTTTTTCTATATGATCACTTATGCTTTCAAAAATTTGAAAATGAGCAAGGAAAAATGTTCTCTTTTATTTAATCAGACAAAACAAAGCTGGAGGGATCAGGCCCTATGACAGCTATCACGGTTAAAGTGCCCAAACTTGGGCTTGATGAACCTTGAAGTAGTGCCAATGTTGTTGCTTTGTTCAGCTGAGGAAGAACCTAGAGAATTTATGAAAATGAAGAGAAAACAGGTTAAATGTAATGCACATTGCACAGAACTGAAACACTGAGTCAAACTATGATCTTGACTGTGCCAATATATATTTGGAGTAACTAACTTCTGGATCTGTGCTGGCATAGCTGAGAGCAAAAGGTATCTGTCTGCATATGGTCCAGTGTCTGGTACCTGGGACTGTAGGAACACACAACCAGGTAGACAATACCTACATTAGCTCTAGGTGAGTTCACCTAGGTACCAAGTGCCACTGGGTGGACAGCTGTTCCAACATGGCTATACTGCATGGGGTATGTAGACCTCCCCTGTAAATCAAGATAACTGGATTCTGTCTTCAGTTCTGTGACTGCCTTGCTCTATAAGTTTGTACACATCAGTTAACTTGCTCTGTAGCATTTGATAGTGACACTCACTTATGTACAAGCACAGATGGAG